ACCTGCCCCAGTCCCCGCTCACCGCATACGGCGCACTGACGCCGCTCGCTTCCCGCGCAGGTAATACTCCTCAGATATTATAAAACATGTCAATTTTGCAATCTTGTAGTGGAAACATATCGACTGCTGCACTATGCACGTGATGAAGTGAAACGCTTGCCTTCAATATTTTAATAAGCGATTTCATTGTAATTTTTGTACTTTTGTAATATGGAAATGTATTTTGCAGTGGAAGACGACGTAAGAAAGACCCCCGGCGTCAGCACGCCGCGGAATGAATTCTATTTAATGAGGTAATCTTATACTTAAGTTTACAGTTTTAACTTTTTCTGTTACACATAAGTTAACTTTTAATAGGATTGCATTGTTATTTCGTAACAGAGAAATTGTATTGAGTTTTTCGTGTGTGCAGTTCACCCCGGGGCGACGTGGCGAGTGCGTACATGAGCAAGCTGGAGGCGGTCAGTCGCTGCCTCAGCCACGTGCTGGAGTCGCCGCGGGACGTGCCGTGACACGCCCCCGCCCCGTCCCGCCACGCCCCCGCCACGCCCACCGCGACAACACTACACCAAATCAATTAACGTAATTTGTAATACAATGTAATAATTCTCCGCCTTACAACGGTGCCTTAATGTTTCGCTCATTTAAATTTTAAATGCTATAAATGCAATTTTGCACAATTCTTCTGACATTCATGTAATTAAGAGGTCGTGAATCCATCTCATTTGACATTAAGGCTAACCCAAACTAAGGCAATTAGAGAATATCTCAAAACTGGATTTAATACATGCTATGATTTCACTAAGTATTAGAGTAGTGCCAAATTGAATATATTTTTAGTTTATTAATTTATTTATTAGTATTTAAGATGTAAATTTCAGTTTCGGTTGTTATTGGTCCGCCTAGGGTAATGTTTGTGCGCAAGTTGTATTGCGTGCGAGTGAAAGAGATGGTGATATGTCTCTCTGTTACTGTGTTAATTTACGATGCGCTCTCGTGTTTGTGTGAAAATAGTTTTAAACAAAAACTGACTGTAAAACGAGCTCTATAATATCCATAATAAATATTGACAAGTTAACTAATGTTTAAATTGTACAAATCGCATAAGTTTTCTGTATAATTTTATGTTAAACGATAACGCAACTTGCCATATCTGTAGAAGTAAATATTGTCGACGCACGAAAGTACAAGTTAGGTTAAGTTTAGTTTAAGTTAGCGACCGCGACTCGACCGAATCTCGAACGTTCCACGACTGAGTTGCCACACACTGTCCCTTCACACGAAACTTACAGCAAATACAGGTTAATTAGCAAAGAAAAGGGATAGATTGCTTATAAGTAGATGGGACTCTAAGCAGTATTTTAAAGGCGGCGAGGCTGCAGATTGGTTGACTGAAATTACTTTGACATTTCTATACAATTTGATTGACCTTCACATGACTTTGACCAATCCCGCAGCCGCTCGCGCGACCTAAGACTTCGATATTAGTGATTTTGACGTAATTTTTTAAGTTTACAATTTACTTTGTTGACTTTATTGATGATAAGAATTTATATTTGTATGACATGTCGCATTTCAGATATTTATAATTTCCTATAGTTTTTACGATTCCTCTATACTATCATTTGAAATCCAACTAACCAAAGTCAAATATTATGTTAAATTGCTGAGAGTATCAATTGGCACAATTCATTCGTCTTAGAAACTGACAACTTTACCTCTGACAATAGCAACACTTGTTTAAACGCGCACAAAAATACAACATTTATCTAAGATGTAAAAAAAAGTATAATAAATATGCTAGTGATTGTAAATAGTAACATTTAAGTAACTCCATCTGTTGTTTATTAAAAGATAATAATAACATAAAATTCGTATAAACATTTCACACATATTTTCTTTATCTTGCCAATTGTATGAAATCCACCGTCGAACAAAATCTACACTCACTGTGACCAAAGAATCTTGTAGCCATTTAAAATATTTGTCTAAATTTAAGTTAATTAAGGAAACAACCATTTTGTAAGCCCAACGAATATTTATTAATCTTATAAAGTGCATGAGACGCGCAACATGCGTTATTTAGATGGAAAATAGTTAGAAAATTATATTTGATAGTCTCCATCTTTGTGTGTGAGTGTCTCATACATGAACATAAACAATAAAATTTTGTCATCTCTAGTCACCCATCTCACCATTGTGCCATTAACTCTCTACAATATATACAAAAAAAAAACAGATCTAAACGTATAAATAAAAGAATATTTTCTATATAACTTGTTTCATTTGGTGACTGCCGGCCCGCGCTGCGTCGCGCTAATGGGGGGGAGTGTCAGGTCCTGAAAATACAACCAGAT